TGGGAAGTGTGTGGGAAAGCAGCTCCACCTTTCCGGGATAATTCCTCACTTTCCACCACCTGGAATTGGCCAAAAAGCAGGAAAAATTCAGGGGAAAAAATCAAAATAAACAGGAAAAAAAATTGGGATAGAAGGATGGAAAAAGGGGGGAAAAAAGGGAATAAATCAGGGGGAAAAATAAAAATAATCAGGAAAAAAATTGGGATAAAAGGATGGAAAAGGGGGGAAAAAAGGGAATAAAATCAGGGGGAAAAATAAAAATAATCAGGAAAAAAAATTGGGGTGAAAGGATGGAAAAAGGGGGGAAAAAAGGGAATTAAATCAGGGAAAAATTGGGATAAAAGGATGGAAAAGGGGGGAAAAAAGTGAATTAAATCAGGGGAAATTTGGGATAAAAGAGTGGAAAAGGCAGGGAAAAATCAGGGATAAAGGGAAAAATAATCAGGAAAAAAATTGGGATAAAAGGATGGAAAAAGGGGGGAAAAAGGGAATAAAATCAGGGGGAAAAATAAAAATAATCAGGAAAAAAATTGGGATAAAAGGATGGGAAAAGGGGGAAAAAAGGGAATTAAATCAGGGGGAAATTTGGGATAAAAGAGTGGAAAAGGCAGGGAAAAATCAGGGAAAAATTGGGATAAAAGGATGGAAAAAGGGGGAAAAAAGGGAATAAAATCGGGGGAAATAAGAAAAATAATCAGGAAAAAAATTGGGATAAAAGAATGGAAAAGGGGGAAAAAAGGGAATAAAATCAGGGAAAAACTGGGATAAAAGAGTGGAAAAGGCAGGGAAAAATCAGGGAAAAATTGGGATAAAAGGATGGAAAAAGGGGGAAAAAAGGGAATTAAATCAGGGGGAAGTTTCGGGATAATTCCTCACTTTCCACCACCTGGAATTGGCCAAAAAGCAGGAAAAATTCAGGGGGAAAATCAAAATAAACAGGAAAAAAAATTGGGGTGAAAGGATGGGAAAAGGGGGGAAAAAAGGGAATAAATCAGGGAAAAATTGGGATAAAAGGATGGAAAAGGGGGGAAAAAAGGGAATAAAATCAGGGGGAAAAATAAAAATAATCAGGAAAAAAAATTGGGGTGAAAGGATGGAAAAGGGGGGAAAAAAGGGAATTAAATCAGGGGGAAGTTTCGGGATAATTCCTCACTTTCCACCACCTGGAATTGGCCAAAAAGCAGGAAAAATTCAGGGGGGAAAATAAAAATAAACAGGAAAAAAAATTGGGATAGAAGGATGGAAAAAGGGGGGAAAAAAGGGAATAAATCAGGGAAAAAAAGGGAAAAATAAGTGGGAAAAAGGGGAAAAAATCAGGAAAAAATCAGGGAAAAATAAGTGGGAAAAAGGGAAAAAATCAGGGAAAAAATGGGGGGGGGGAATAAAATAATGAAAAGAAGGGAAAAATAAATGGGAAAAAGGGGAAAAAATCAGGGGGAAAAAAGGGAAAAATAAGTGGGAAAAAGGGAAAAAAATCAGGGAAAAAATCAGGGAAAAATAAGTGGGAAAAAGGGAAAAAAGTCAGGAAAAAATCAGGGAAAAAAAGGGAAAAATAAATGGGAAAAAGGGAAAAAATCAGGGAAAAAAAGGGAAAAATAAGTGGGAAAAAGGGGAAAAAATCAGGAAAAAATCAGGAAAAAATCAGGGAAAAATAAATGGGAAAATCAGGAAAAAATCAGGAAAAAATCAGGGAAAAAATGGGGGAGGGGGGGAATAAAATAATGAAAAGAAGGGAAAAATAAATGGGAAAAAGGGGAAAAAATCAGGAAAAAATCAGGGAAAAATAAATGGGAAAAAAGGGAAAAAATCAGGGAAAAAAAGGGAAAAATAAATGGGAAAAAGGGGAAAAAATCAGGGAAAAAAGGGAAAAATAAGTGGGAAAAAGGGGAAAAAATCAGGGGAAAAAGGGAAAAATAAGTGGGAAAAAGGAAAAAATCAGGGAAAAATCAGGGAACAACCGGGGAGGGGGGGGAATAAAATAATGAAAAGAAGGGAAAAATAAATGGGAAAAAAGGGAAAAAAGTCAGGAAAAAGTCATGAAAAAAACAGGGACAGGGGGGAATAAAATAATGAAAAAAAGGGAAAAATAAATGGGAAAAAGGGGAAAAAATCAGGAAAAAATCAGGGAAAAAAAGGGAAAAATAAATGGGAAAAAGGGGAAAAAATCAGGAAAAAATCAGGGAAAAATAAGTGGGAAAAAGGCAAAAAAGTCAGGAAAAAATCAGGGAAAAAAAGGGAAAAATAAGTGGGAAAAAGGGGAAAAAATCAGGAAAAAATCAGGGAAAAATAAGTGGGAAAAAGGGAAAAAATCAGGGAAAAAATGGGGGGGGGGAATAAAATAATGAAAAGAAGGGAAAAATAAATGGGAAAAAGGGGAAAAAATCAGGGGGAAAAAAGGGAAAAATAAGTGGGAAAAAGGGAAAAAAATCAGGGAAAAAATCAGGGAAAAATAAGTGGGAAAAAGGGAAAAAAGTCAGGAAAAAATCAGGGAAAAAAAGGGAAAAATAAATGGGAAAAAGGGAAAAAATCAGGGAAAAAAAGGGAAAAATAAGTGGGAAAAAGGGGAAAAAATCAGGAAAAAATCAGGAAAAAATCAGGGAAAAATAAATGGGAAAATCAGGAAAAAATCAGGAAAAAATCAGGGAAAAAATGGGGGAGGGGGGGAATAAAATAATGAAAAGAAGGGAAAAATAAATGGGAAAAAGGGGAAAAAATCAGGAAAAAATCAGGGAAAAATAAATGGGAAAAAAGGGAAAAAATCAGGGAAAAAAAGGGAAAAATAAATGGGAAAAAGGGGAAAAAATCAGGGAAAAAAGGGAAAAATAAATGGGAAAAAGGGGAAAAAATCAGGAAAAAATCAGGGAAAAATAAGTGGGAAAAAGGCAAAAAAGTCAGGAAAAAATCAGGGAAAAAAAGGGAAAAATAAGTGGGAAAAAGGGGAAAAAATCAGGAAAAAATCAGGGAAAAATAAGTGGGAAAAAGGGAAAAAATCAGGGAAAAAAAGGGAAAAACAGGGGATAGAGGGAATAAAATAATGAAAAGAAGGGAAAAATAAATGGGAAAAAGGGGAAAAAATCAGGAAAAAATCAGGGAAAAATAAATGGGAAAAAGGCAAAAAAATCAGGAAAAAATCAGGAAAAAGCGGGGAGGGGTGGAATAAAATAATGAAAAAAAGGGAAAAATAAATGGGAAAAAGGGGAAAAAGTCAGGAAAAAATCAGGGAAAAAAAGGGAAAAATAAATGGGAAAATGGGGAAAAAATCAGGAAAAAATCAGGGAAAAAAAAGGAAAAATAAATGGGAAAAAGGGAAAAAATCAAGGAAAAACCGGGGAGGGGGGGGAATAAAATAATGAAAAGAAGGGAAAAATAGATGGGAAAAAGGGGAAAAAATCAGGAAAAAATCAGGGAAAAATAAATGGGAAAAAAGGAAAAAAATCAGGAAAAAATCAGGGAAAAAACGGGGAGGGGGGGAATAAAATAATGAAAAGAAGGGAAAAATAAATGGGAAAAAGGGGAAAAAATCAGGAAAAAATCAGGGAAAAAAAGGGAAAAGTAAATGGGAAAAAGGGAAAAAATCAGGAAAAAATCAGGGAAAAATAAGTGGGAAAAAGGCAAAAAAGTCAGGAAAAAATCAGGGAAAAAAAGGGAAAAATAAATGGGAAAAAGGGAAAAAATCAGGGAAAAATAAATGGGAAAAAAGGAAAAAAATCAGGAAAAAATCAGGAAAAAACGGGGAGGGGGGGAATAAAACAATGAAAAAAAGGGAAAAATAAATGGGAAAAAGGGAAAAAAGTCAGGAAAAAGTCATGAAAAAAACAGGGACAGGGGGGAATAAAATAATGAAAAAAAGGGAAAAATAAATGGAAAAAGGGGAAAAAATCAGGAAAAAAATCAGGGAAAAAAAGGGAAAAATAAATGGGAAAAAGGGGAAAAAATCAGGAAAAAATCAGGGAAAAATAAATGGGAAAAAAGGAAAAAATCAGGAAAAAATCAGGGAAAAATAAGTGGGAAAAAGGGAAAAAATCAGGGAAAAAAAGGGAAAAATAAGTGGGAAAAAGGGGAAAAAGTCAGGAAAAAATCAGGGAAAAAAAGGGAAAAATAAATGGGAAAAAGGGGAAAAATCAGGAAAAAGTCAGGAAAAAAACAGGGACGGGGGGGAATAAAATAATGAAAAAAAGGGAAAAATAAATGGGAAAAAGGCAAAAAAATCAGGGAAAAAACGGGGAGGGGGGGAATAAAATAACGAAAAAAAGGGAAAAAAAAATGGGAAAAAAATCAGGATAAAAACCTGGAAAAATCAGGCTAAAAACCTGGAAAAATCAGGAAAAACAAGAGGGAAATGCCGAGAGGGGGAACCTTGTGGATGCGGGGAGCTCGGGGCTGGCTGGCCACGTCCACGACGTAGATTCGGGATGAGACGAGGGCGGGCAGGATGAGGAAATCCCGGGATTTGCCGGGATCCCCGTGGCAGCTGCTGCAGGCGTTCCAGCCCGAGTGGTGCAGCTCGTCCCCCACGTTGGGCATGGGCAGCCGGTGGATAACCTGGGAAAAAAGGGAATTCCAATGGTTTTCCAAATCCTAAATTTTCTCCTGGGATTTTTTTTTTTTTTTTTTTTTT